GCTTGCTACAAGGCTGTTTCGAAAAGTCTGTTTGACAAGTTGATGGAATGGCATTCTCACAACTTGTTAACAAGCTTGCTACAAGGCTTTTGCGAAAAGGTTTGTTGACAAGTTGATGGAACACCATTGTCTGAACTTGTTAACAACCTTGCTAGAATCCTGTTGCGAAAGTCTTTTTTTCAAGTTGATGGAACGGCGTTCTCACAACTTGTTAACAAGCTTGCTGCAAGGCTGTTGCGAAAAGTTTTGTTGACAAGTTGATGGAACAGCATTGTCTCAACTTGTTAACAAGCTTGCTACAAGCCTGTTGCGAAAAGCCTTTTTGACAAGTTGATGGAACGACATTCTCACAACTTGTTAAGAAGCTTGCTACATGGCTGTTGCGAAAAGTCTATTTGACAAGTTGATGGAAAGGCATTCTTACAACTTGTTAACAAGCTTGTTACAAGCCTGTTGCGGAAAGTCTTGTTGACAAGTTGATGGAACGGCATTCTCACAACTTGTTAACAAGCTTGCTACAAGCCTGTTGCGAAAAGTCTATTTGACAAGTTAAGGGAACGAAATTGTCTCAACTTGTTAACAAGTTTGCTACAAGTCTGTTGCAAAAAATCTGTTTGACAAGTTGATGGAACGGCATTCACACAACTTGTTGACAAGCTTAGCTTGCTACAAGCCTGTGGCGAAAAGTCTTTTTGACAAGTTGATGGAACGAAATTGTGTCAACTTGTTAACAAGTTTGATACCAGTCTGTTGCAAAAAATCTGTTTGACAAGTTGATGTAACGGCATTCACACAACTTGTTAACAAGCTTGCTACAAGCCTGTGGCGAAATGTCTATTTGACAAATTGATGGAACGAAATTGTGTCAACTTGTTAACAAGTTTGCTACAAGTCTGCTGCGAAAAATCTATTTGACAAGTTGATGGAACGGCATTCTCACAACTTGTTAACAAGCTTGCTACAAGCCTGTTGCGAAAAGTCTATTTGACAAATTGATGGAACGAAATTGTCTCAACTTGTTAACAAGTTTGCTACAAGTCTGTTCCTAAAAGTCTTGTTGACAAGTTGATGCAACGGCATTCTCACGACTTGTTAACAAGCTTGCTACAAGCCTGTTGCGAAAAGTCTGTTTGACAAGTTGATGAAACAGCATTCTCACAACTTGTTAACAAGCTTGCTACAAGCCTGTTGCGAAAAGTCTATTTGAAAAGTTGATGGAACGGCATTGTCTCAACTTGTTAACATGGTAACAATTTCCTTGCGTAATACACATATACTGAAAATATGCAAACTTCGCAACGCTATATGTTTTCTGTATTTTACAACATTTCGCAACCAAATTTTGCAATTTTAGTAATTTCATTATGTTGTTTTTAACTGTTGTATTTGATCCCCTTGTCTTTACTTAGATTAAGATTTAGTCTAACATGCAAGTTGTCCGTTTTATTATTTGGATTTTCGAGTAACGTTAAAGACATTAGAGAACATGCGATATGACATTGCATAAGAACAGACCTCGGTCGATATGGGCAAAATTCGACATTAACAACATTCAACACAACACGTGATATGTACGCCCGTATTCTAAAAGCTCACTCACATTCACACTCAATGAGTGGAGGTTCAATCTGAGCTTCTCTTTAGCGTCAATGTTGGTTTTGAATAGCTGGAGGGGTAGTGCGATACGTTACTATGTGACTGCTCACCCTCCAGCTATTCAAAAACAGCATTCGAAGCTTAGATTGAACCTCCACTCATTGAGTGTAAGTTTGAGTTATCTTTTAGAATACGGGCGATAGTATTAGGTATTAAGTCTAACGTCGGTTTTCTAAAAGCTCTCTCACACTCAAAGTCAATGATTTGAGGTTCAATATGTCTTCTTTTGAGTGTCGACGCTGTTTTTCAATAGCTGGAGGTTAGTGTCCTACCTTACTATGTGACTACTCACCTTCCAGATATTCAAAAACAGCAATGACACTCAAGAAAACCTCAGATTGAACCTCCACTCATCATCATTGAGTGCGAGTGAGCTTTTAGAATACAGGCGTAATTCTTTTTGCATGTTTTGACAATTAATATGATACACTCGAAACAATAAAGTACAAGCACACATTTTAGTAAAACATTACAAGTTATTAGTGAGATCAGCGTAATATAAATGAAATATTTTATGTAAATAAACTCAACGGGTGACTTTATTCCTCTATAAATTAATGTAAAATAAAGATTTATGGTAAAACTGATACCGTACTAATTTAAGTACCACTACTAAATTTAACTAAATTTTACGTAAAACCGATACCGTACTAATTTAAGTACTACTACTAAATTCTAACTAGTTTTCGAATTTCATCACGTTATAATGCCGTTTCCTGACCGTCAGATTTCTGCCAAATCTTCCTCCAAAGTCCACGAAATGGCATTTCAGAAACTCTAAATTTAAATATTTTCCGGGGAAACATGCCCCCTGGCCCCCCTCACAACCTCGCAACCACAAAACAACCGGGCACCTGCGGCGCTCGGCTCGGGCCTTCGATCGGCCCTCGTTCACCAAGCATTACATCAAAGGGGCGCGTAACTGATTGATACCCAGCACGCTACTGACTCTAGCGCTAGATATTTGATCTCGACCAGCGCCTCGACAACTTCTTACGCTTTTGGTGTTCTGCAAACTTCGTGCGTGCTCACTAACTAAATTGGGAATCCCAAATCATGAAAAACTTCCATCGTGCCCAGTCTCTTAGTTTATTACGAGAAGAGGAAACGCGCGAAGTTCTGGATGGGAGCCATAGTATAGAATACAGTAAGACCCCGCGTATAAGAACCTAGATTTTTCAAATTAGCCTATATATATAAACAGGTTCTTATACAAATGGTGCTTATCACGAAATTAGGCTAAATAGGTTCTTAATAGGTTCTTTTTTTCTAAAGAAAAAGCGACTCATTTTCGGTGGTGTAGATACAGTTATTTCATGTCTTCATACAGACATGTTGTTTATTATGTTATGACAGACATGTCCAAGATTCTGACTTCTGGGTCATTTTTATTAATTTGTGAAGAGTTTATTTTCTTTGATTTATAAATTTTAGTTACGACTCTTTAGAATGAAGAAAATAAAATAAGAACCTATTCTAAATTTTAGCCTAAACAGGTATTGTATAAAGGGGGTCGAAATAGGCAATTTTAGCCTAAAAGGTTCTTAAAATGTAGGTTCTTGTACGCGGGGTCTAACTGTACACTAATTCAAGCACTAAGTAACGAGATGGATTCCGCGAAATACCGTATTACGCAAACTGAATTAAGATATTTCCCGAGGAGGTCGGCCCGATCTTTGCTGCATTGGTAAATATAGTAACAAGTATAATAAGACGACAAACTGTATCCGTTTTAGCGTTTGCTTTACGCTTTATTTATTTTATGACTGAATATGAATTACAAACATTCATTAGGTTATATCAATGAAATGTTTATTTAGTTGTAATCTTCATCATCAATTTAGCGTTTCCTGAACTGGTCATGTAGCCGTTTACCAACTTGAAACCAGAACCAAGATTTCTCTCATGATATCTTTTTTCAAGAGAAAGGAGAAAAAATCAGAATTTAAGTTGAGTACATGAACGAAATTTAATAAAATGCTATTTTTAATGAGGCGTCATTTAAAATTGATATACAGTTCTTATCCACGCGCTGTGTATATTTGATGAATGTCTTGGAAAGCTGTCTCTAATCTTCCTCAGTTCGTAAGTTTGATTCTTTCTAGGGGGCTTAAGATATCTACAACGCGGACGTGACGAAAAACTGCCGCTATTATCTCAGTTTCACTTCATAGGTAAAAGCTACAGCCGGATTGTTTTTGATAAAAAAAAATCCAGGGACACAAGAGAAACTAAGTAAAACTAGCCTCCCATTAATAGTGACTGTTTTTTAGTCGCGTTTGCGTCACAGATTTGGTGCATCTTAAGCTCCCTACTATTGGCTAGTCAACGGTTACATGAGTTGTTTGGTACTTCCACGATTCTTTTCAGCCCGTTGCATGTTGCCTTTTCCCTTCTTTGTTTTAGTGAGCCGAGGGTAGCCTTTATCAGTTTCAAGGATTCTCAGATTTCTCTGTTGAACGCGTTCAATTTCTGTTTCAAGATATTTAGGGGATTCCTCCCCCCCCCCCTCCCCCACCCCGAAAACTGGCGGAGCGTGTTCAAGTGTTGGCCGAATCTTTCTTGTGTATATCAGTAGCCCAATCCCGGGTGGTAGGGAGCATTTCCTACAATCTTGAAGAAGGAACAATAATTTATTCGCTCTTTTGTAATTTTGCGAACATGCATGGATGTTCCACTTTAAGTCGTTTTGCATGCATATACACCAAGAAATTTGAAGGTGTTCACTCTTTCTATTTCAATTCCGTCTGTTTGTATGGGAGGAGGTTCAGGAGAAGATTGGGAAAAACTGGTCCACATGTCCTTTGTTTTCTCTGGATTTACCTCATGTTATTATGAACATTTTTATGAATATTGAATACAGTTGGGGAAATGACGGAGCCTGCGGAACGTCAGCAGAGCATGAGGATCTAGCTTGAAGACATAACACCATGATATGCGGATATGCAAATTCACTTAAGGGGAATGGAGAAGGCATTTCCCTTCTTAATGTGTATACGCGTCAAATGCGATTACCCTACCAAGCGGGTCAGGTTTTATTCTCCATTTTTATACCATAACACACAAAGTAAAAAACAAAAGCATCGAAATGCAACATGCAAAGATCCAAGGCATATCATTATACAACTTGCCGCTAAAATTTCGCGTTTATAGTCGCCATTTTTAAATACAACTGGCTTAGCGATCACGAATAGGTAGGGTTACCCTACCTTATCTCATGTAAGAACTCGCTATTTTTTACTCTTTTCGCAGGGTAATTCTAGTGGCAGGATCCCCCTACCTCCATGTAAACAAGCCCTAATTAAATCATTCATCACACGACGAATTATTCAAGTCAAGCTCACCTGTTGTCACCTTTGTATGGGTTACCATAATACATGTCTACATACAACTGATGGTTGGGCGATTTTTTAACAGAGAACACCTTCACGTCCCACCAATTGGAGTACAAATTGTAATCAAATGGTACACTGAACAAAACACACAAGGACTTTTTTTTATCAGGGATGTAATAGCAAAGTACACCTACTGCCCCAGTTGCAACAGGACCGGAGGTTTTCCTCGCTGGGAAGACGGCGGCTTCTTTTGAACTCAAACAAGCTGGAAGAATGTCATCAGATGTACCAGAACTGAAATATACTCCATCAGCTTTCCACGCGAATGGCGTATCATTACCAATACCAATTGCAATCTTTCTCTTAATATTACCAAGAGTGTCTAGTACTTTCGTCAAGACATTAAGACCTAGCTCTATTATTGGGATCGCTGCAGCTAAACCTCGCTTGGACTTCCCTTCGCCTGCAATAAAAATTTGTGTCATGTTAAATTGCAAAAGAAGTGCAGCAACTCCTCGAAAACATTTTGGAATTATTAAATTAACTAACAATACACTCATGCAACCCCCAGCCTGATAATAACTGCATGCATCATAGTTCTGGAGCCTGTTCTATAAGACATATAACAAAGTGGGATATAATTATAATATCCAATTTTATTGGTTAATGTGCGGGGCGTTCTGAAAACCCGGAATGCCGGAATATCACAGAATATGCCGGAATAACACGGAAAAAAATTCGGTTATCTTTTAACAGTTCGAAAACTAAAATGCAGTCCTGCTCAGGGGTCATCCTAAGGCCTACCATTTTCCAAAATGGGTAGTTCTAAATGTAAAATGGGTAGTTCTTAAACTTGAAATGGGCAGTTCTAAAATCGAGTTTTCAAGCTTTATATGAAAATTAGTTATAAACTAAGCGCCCATACAGATATTTAAGGCAAAAACAAAATAAAATATCACTCTGAAAATGCATGAAATGGCCAATCTGGACTTGTAAAATCCAAAACTTTCCGATGGAACATGCCCCAGGACCCTCCTAGCTACTCAGGAATCCAGTATTCCATGACCTCGTCTCTCGTTACTGCCACACAGTTAGCCTGTGTTCACTACCTCTGCTCTTGTCGAAATGGGCAGTTCTAAATTTTTCTTAGGATGCCCCTGGTCATGCTAACACCTAACCTGATAATAATAGACTTATTAATAGCTCTAAAACCTGTTGTATGATAAAATATAAGAAAACGAGGGATATGGGGCTTCGGTAGCGCAGTTGTCGGAGCAAGCACCCTTCACCTCTGAGAACGTGGGTTCAATTTTCGCTACGCGCCCATGCGATAAAATTAAGTCCGTCAACAAGAAAGTCATTGCCGAAAGTCGTGGGATTTCTCCAGGCGCTTCGGTTTCTTCCACAGGGAAAGTTGGCAGCGTGGATTTGGATAAACATAGTTAGGAAAGTAATATCACAGTTGTTGTAGTCTAAGCTAACTAAGTAATACATATATGTTATTTACCGGCTGCGAGGTCCGGATGAGAAAAACTGTGCCCGAGGTCTTAACATTGTTTTTTAATTTTGTTGTGATCCTGGAGTCAAGAGGCAAATGGATCGATTCATAGGGTTGACTTGGCATCGCAGAATAAGAGGAAGGCTTACCTGCAACGGCGGATTGTTCTTCCACAATACCAGGAACAATGGCGGGTTGTTCAGTCGAGGTGGTTGCTCCCATCGCGACAACTGGAGCCTCAACAACAGCGTCCGAAAACTCCGCTTGATGGTGCGGTGTAAGTCGCTGAGTAACTTCAGCAGTAACTGTTAACACGATCTGCTGACGAAGCTGTGGGGAGATGGTACTAGCATCAGGCGCTGTCGATGTACTGGCGACGCTGACGGGTTCGCGTACGGTTGAGCTCGTTGTTGCACCAGCGGACGGAGAAGCAATGGTTGGTTCTAAGACCATGGTCGAACTGCGTGTCTGCACACGAGGTCGCTGTGACGGCGATGGATTGGCCGGAGATTTCGAGGACTTGCGTTTCGAACTCTTGGAACCTTTCGGTGGCATAATGAACTGAAAGAGAAATTACTGCAAAATGGATTAGAAGTTAGTTGCCCCTCTGAACGAAGATTGTGCAAGGAACGAGAACGCGATCGATAAATAGGAGAATTTTAACTGACTGGGTCAAGCTTGGCCACACTAAAACGGTGACCGCACCACTTGCCCAAAACGCCAGATGGAAAAAACGAGGGCGAAGCCTCGACTTACAGTGCATGAAAACATTTTCATTAAATGAGGGCGAAGCCTCTGACAAAATCTCGACGAAGCGAGAGATTTTGAAATAATTAAATGAGGGCGAAGCCTCTGACAATAACTCGACAAAGCGGGAGGTTTTGAAATAAAAAAATTTTGAGGGCGAAGCCTCAATAGGGATCACAGCGAAGTGCGATCCGTATAATAACAAATATTGAGGGCGAAGCCTCAACTCACCACAAAGGGTGAGATATTTGTATTTTAACAAGTAATGGTATATAAATAAAAATAATAAAATCAAAGAAAAATGCGACCACCTGTGTGCTCAGCACAGCGTGAAAGAAACTGAATGGCCTTGTGGATGGCGCCCCGATAACTTCTATACAAAGTATATTGAGCTCTGCGGGTGTAGTGGACGCCATCAGCCAGAAAAGGCGAAATGGTTGGCTGAGTAAAGCCTTTATGTCTCCAACAGAACACATTGTGCTTATCTTCTAACACAACCGTAAGGTACTGGTTCAAGATCGCAACCTTCTCATTAAATTTTCGAGAAGAGGCCCGATTGGTTACCAAACACACGCCGACCACTCTGACGGATGGAACCCCGAGCAACATGCGCACTAGATCGTCAATTCTCAATCCCACAGTTTCGGGTTTTTCCAAGGTTAAGTCATTTGTCCCAACCTCTAAAATAACAATGTTGGGCTGAAACTGGGTAACCCTGTTGAAATCAAATTGAACTAATTTGTCAACAGTCCTCCCCCCAACACCATGCAGTTTGATAGCTACATTGTGCATGTTAAAATTTAGGGCAGCGCGAACATCGAATTTGGATCTTAACTCCCGATGCATGCGCTTCACAAAGGAATGACCAAATACCAGTATCTTTGGGTTGGATAAAGCCATAATAGAAGAGAATAGGTGAAAGAATGATTGTGTAAAAAAGAAATGTATCGCTAACCTGAAAATAGGACCAAAATGATGTTGAAGATAAATTCTGAGTTCTTCACTTGACCACTGATATTGGAGACTTGCAAAATATCTAAGTTATCTTGGTTTAATACCAAGAGATCGACCTTGATCTTGGCCCAGCTGTTACGTAGTTTCAAGTGCTCTGAATTTCCTCCCTCTTCAACAGGCGCGCCAGGAATTTACATTAAATATAATTAAATTGTTACTCACTTATCTAATTAGTTCAGGTGTGACATAAAACCCCATATTTCGTGGGAAATATTTCTATTTAATTAAAATACATCAAAAGACACTACTACACACAGTAAAAGGCAAAACCTCTACCTGGTTTACTCTTGCGTCTTCGCCAATAGCTTTCTAATTTAGTAACTTGCATGGACGAACAATGATCTGTTCTGAATACCCAACAAGTTTTATCCACTGCTTTTATAATATATTTTGTATAAAGACTTTTATAATGGAGGACATTTTTTGTTAAGTTGGCCTTCAAAGAATGCCTGGTATGGACGATTGTCATAATTATAATTTGCGGGGGCACAGCGATGATTTGGCTTGCCTGATTGGCCAAATGATCGTATTTGTCCGCAAACTATACGTCACAATTAGCCAGACTTTTTAAAAAGGTCTATTAAAGTAGGTGATAATTACTTCTCCGATAATTGCCCCTTAGTTGAATTTCTTTGACGTCATTGATTACAGTATGCAAAAGAGGAAGTTTTGCAACGACAAATTTTCCACAATTACATCAAATCTTAGCTGCATGTCAATGCCAAATTCCAGTTGCGTATAATAATAATATATATATATATATATATATATATATATATATATATATATATATATATATATATATATATATATATATATATATATATATATATATATATATATATATATATATATATATATATATATATATATATATATATATATATATTATTTATATATATATTATATATATATGTATATATAATGTATATATAAATAATATATATATATATATATATATATATATATATATATATATATATATATATATATATATATATATATATATATATATATATATATGTAGCAATTGCAAACTAATGATTAATTGGAAATTATTTTGGAATCGGTGATAAATTGAGCTGTACCCAAAGAAATGTTTCGTGTTAACTTTGCATATGAACGATACCAGCTAGTATGTTTATTAGTAGCCAAATACTTTAGCTTTGACAATAACTATTGTGCCAGTCATGTGTTTCCGACATACATTATATAGAACGTTTGCCGAGTTGTAATGTCTCTAAACGTCATGTAGCTTGAGAGTAATTGTGCTGGAAGGATTCAGATAATTGTAAAACCACGATTTTACGCTAAGAAGCTTTTATTAGCTACCCAGCGTATACATTTATTTATTTAGCTTTGCCAACTAGGGCAGGGTCACCACAACAGCATATGCCAATTACTGTGGGCCCTTTTTTTACTTAACCCACCGTGTCAACTTTCCCGGTGGGAGGAAACCGGAGTTCCCTGGGAAAACCCACGGCTTTCGGCAGAGCGTTGACTTTTTACTCTTTTCACATGGGGACTGGGTTCGAGTCGCATTGAGAAGGTACTTAGTGAGACTCGAACCTGCAGCCTCAGAGGTGAAAGGCAAGTGCGCTAACCACTTGGCCACCGAAGCCCCTTGAATCATGCAGAATCGAATACAGGCTACAGTACAGGAAGTTCAAAATCTACAAAGTAGTCTATACTTTTAACAAACAGAGGGTGAGGCGAACCATAGTTAATAGAGGAGATGGTTTGGAAACTCGTTAGCAAAACAATGAAATCACAAAAAACAGCTCATTATCTATGTTGTTCAGGTTTATGCAAAAATGTGGTCTCTCATCGTCACGTGTGTATTGTATTTTTCTCAAGTCAACCAATAGGAATGTTCAAAATGTCTTATTGTTAAAGTCACAGATGGGCAATTGGACAAAATCGTCGCTATTGGCTGGTTAAGCAAAAATACAATACGCACGTGACGATGAAAGACCACATTTTTGCATAAACCTGAACAAAAGCATAGATAGTGAGGTTTATTGTAATGCTAATAAGTTTCCAAACCATCTCCTCAATTAACTATGGGCGAACCAATAACAATGTTCTAGAGTGAATGTAAACTTCAATACCAAAGTTATTTTGCAATTATTGAATGAGGTTGAGCACGATATGAAGAATTATCAAGCCCAAAGTTTGCCGTTATCAACCGAAGCCGAAGGCTGTGGTAGATAGTACATAATCAACGTTATTTTATGGTCAATAATTTAGAATAGCTTGACTAGGATTTTTTGAGCTCAATTAACTAAGTGAGTGGGTGCAAATACAAAGCGATAACTATATCTACATTGATAATAACGGGGAAATTCCAATTTATTCAAAGTCGTTCATTTCAATTCAATTCGAACTAAAAAGGAAACATTCTTTCACTCATTCATGACATTCATTTAAAAGTTTTCGTTATTCTGAAGCGCAATTATTGCCATTATTATCACAAGACATTATCGACCACATTATATCTCAAGAATCGCCCACATTTTAGGACCTTTTTCAACTTAATAACGTGTAAATCGAGTGAGTGGCTGACAAATAATGGGGAAGTTTTTCGTAATTATTATTTTAACTTCATATCAAACTTAATTCGAAAGCTATATGTTGAGTATATTAAACTAACAAAAGCATATATGTAAAGACTATAAGAGGATCCAGAAGCCGGGGGTCGTCTTCCCATTTCCCAGCCATAATTTTGACTAAATCCCGTTGTCCCAGAGCACAAATCCCATCATCTCTGTGGCTGCCTTGCTCAAATCTTAATCCCATTCCCATTTTCTATTTTTTTTTGCTGATGAATCCCTGCATGAAATCCCATTTTCCCACCAAAAAATAAGCAAATTCCAGTTCCCATTTTACCCCTTCAGAACCCTTTAATAATGGTGTTTGCTAAAATTATAGTTTCACATCCTTGTCTCAGATCTCCTCTGGCACGCTTTTAATACGACTAAGCTGCGGATTGAAGTAAGGATAGAACTACCTATATGAAGAAATGCAAGGAATCGAAAACTTCGACGTTTCGAGCGAATGCTCTTCGTTGGGAAGTTACACTGTACCTCGTTGGGAAGTTGGCTCTTCTTTCTTAACAGAGACCTTCCGAATTTAGGACGGCAACGCGACGACGACGGCCAAAACAAACTCCTTCAAACAAATGGTAGTAAAGATAATTCGTCCTACATTATTAATCGTATGAATTTAATACATGCAGTCTTAGAATTTGAAGAAATGGGTTTTATGGCTGGGAAGAGTTCTCTTGAAACCGGCAGTTTGAAGTTTGCATGCACTTGTTGCGGCTTGAAATGCAGCCGTTGTATTAAGACGTGAAAATCTGTGATTTGGCGTTGTAAACAGAGCGAGGACAACGTATAAATTATTCATATATTGTAATTTTTCAATTTTCTTTAACGATCTATTGTATTGGTAGCCATCGCCGTCGCGTTGCCGTCCCAAATTCGTAAGGTCTCTATTATTGGTACTACAGAACCTACACTCATGGCACAGACCCGCTTCCCTTAATTTAATACGTTCGTCTTCCTAATTGCGTTCAAATTTAATCAAGTATATTGTTATTGCAGACTTACTAACTTACTATAGACGTGAACGTTTACATGGATTATTTTAATGACTGATGTGAATCATGCAGAAACAAGTGCTTGATCAAAAATTGAGAAATTTTTGTTCAAACAAAACATAAAACTGCGTCAAATAGAATGGTCAAAAATATATGCTCATAATTTTTCTAGAGATGTCTTTAACAATCAACA